CAGGCGATTTTTGCCCATGCCCCACCCCCCCCCCCTACATTTAAACTTTAAAGGTAAGCACTTACCTTTAAAGTTTAAACCCCAACCTGGCCTCCCTGTAGTCCCGGACTCCTCCAGGACGGTAAAGTAAGGGCTTTTTTTTATATATATATAAACAAACGCTCAGGGCGAAGGTTCGCCTGAGCGCATATCGCTTAGTTTATAAAAAAAAATGGCGGGGGAAAGCCGGAAGCCTCAGGCTTCCGACGGAAGTGGCTAGGCACCGGTGGAGAGCGATCAGATGCCGGTTTGTATCGGAAGCCACCGTTGTACTCTGTTTACCACCACTTCGGACCTAGTGGCAGAGTACAACGGTGTAAAAGGATTTACAACGGTTAGGGACGGGAGGCAGATGTTCGCTGTGTGAACGCCCGTAAGTACACCGGTTGGAACTGGCACCCTAACCGTTGTAAATCCCCCGTCTGAACGCACCCCTTGTGAGGTAGGTGGGGCTGAGAGAACTCTGACAGAAAGTGCTCTTTTTCAAGAACTACAGCTTCTCTTCAGAGTACGGAGATCAGTTCCCCTGGAGAAAATGGATGCTTTGGAGGGTGGACTCTGTGGCATTGTATCCCATTTTGGTTCTTGTCTTTTCCAGGCTCCATCCCCAAATCTCTGGGAGTTTCCCAACGTGAATCTGCCAACCCTACCCCCCCCCCCCCCACACCCCCCCAGGCCGGGGGGGGGGGACCTGCCAACCCTAACTGACAGAGTGGGTTCTAGTCGAAGCCATGATCGATCTGTTAGTCTTCAAGGTGCCTCAAGAACATCCAGTTGTTTTGTTAAAAGAAAGCCAAGATTCTTGAGTGATTACATTTCGGGAAGCGTTCATTTTTTGGGTTTCCGCCTCGTGATTGTCTGGAACGCGCCCAGCTCTGCTTCGACCCTTCGGCAGGCCGTTGATCAGTTGATGGGATTCCTTTTGCAAGCAATTATCTCATCAGCCTGGTGAGTGGGTGAAATGGATGATTGCCCTCCGGCGCTTATTGATTTGGCCTTTGGAAGGCTGTTTGTGGCCTCTCAAGAAGTTGGGCTTGGGGGAACCAGTTCGCTGCGGGTGAGGGGCCCGCGAGGTCGAGTCCAGACATGTGGCAGATATTTTGGGGAAGGTAGTATTTTTTTTGTGGCTGGAGTCCCAGCTCCGTTACTTCCAAGAGATAAGTCTGGCAAACTGAGAGATCTGTCCCTGAAGTTTCAAGCTGGCCAAAATGAGGAGGAGTTCTTTTTTGCTCACTCAGTCGCAGCTGACTTATGGTGAGACTGTAGGGCTTTAAAGGCAAGAGGGGCGGTTGGCCATTGCCTACTTCTGCATAGCGACCTTGGTGTTCCTTGGTGGTCTCCCATCCAAATACTAGCCAGGGCTGATCCTGCTTAGCTTCCGAGGTCCGATGGGGCTGGGCTAGCCTGGGTTATCCAGGCAAGGGCAAAATGGGGAGGGGGGAGCCGGGATAAAGGTACGTTGAAGGGATTTATGTTTGTACCTCACAGTGGGGACAGGCTCCAGTCTGGAAAGAGGTGTCTCCTCTGCTGCCCCCGCCACCCACCTCCGTACGGTTAAGGAATGGAAATGAGTGGAGTAGATGCGTTTGGTGTATTTTATATCCCACTTCATCCCCTGGACTCTGAGTGGCTTACAGCAATTTCATTAAGTCTCATTTACTGTTATCCCCACAGCGTCTCACGGCCCAAGTAGGGAGGGCCCCAAGCACGTGCTGTTCCCGCGCAAGGTAAAAGGTTAAAGCGCTTGGGGCTCTTTAGCTTGGAGAAACGACGGCTGAGGGGTGACATGATCGGAGTTTATAAGATTATGCATGGGACAGAGCAGGCTGAGAAAGGAATACTTTCCTCCCTTTCTCACTGGGGAGGGGGGAGCCGGGATAAAGGTACATTGAATGGATTTATATTTGTACCTCACAGTGGGGACAGGCTGTTGCTCCAGTCTGGAAGGAGGATTGTGTCTCCTCTGCTGCCCCCTGCCACCCACCTCCGTACGGTTAAGGAATGGAAATGAGTGGAGTAGATGCGTTTGGTGTATTTTATATCCCACTTCATCCCCTGGACTCTGAGTGGCTTACAGCAATTTCATTAAGTCTCATTTACTGTTATCCCCACAGCGTCTCACGGCCCAAGTAGGGAGGGCCCCAAGCACGTGCTGTTCCCGCGCAAGGTAAAAGGTTAAAGCGCTTGGGGCTCTTTAGCTTGGAGAAACGACGGCTGAGGGGTGACATGATCGAAGTTTATAAGATTATGCATGGGGCACAGAACAGGCTGAGAAAGGAATACTTTTCTCCCTTTCTCACAGTAGAAGAACTCGTGGGCACTCAATGAAATTGCTGAGCAGTCGGGTTAGAACGGATAAAAGGAAGGCCTTCTTCACCCAAAGAGTGATTAACACAAGGAATTCACTGCCAAAGGAGGTGGCGGCGGCTACAAGCATGGACGGCTTCAAGGGGGAATTGGATAAGCATAATGGAGCAGAGGTCCATCAGTGGCCATTAGCCACAAGGTATAGATAGAAACTCTCAGTCTGGAGCAAGTGATGCTCTGTATTTTTGGTGCTTGGGGGAGGGACCACTGGTGGACCTCCTGATGGCACCTTTTTGGCCACTGTGTGACAGAGTGTTGGACTTGATGGGCCGTTGGCCTGATCCAATATTGGCTTCTCTTATTTTCTTAAGGTACCAGGTTTTGTTCCTTAGCATCTCACACAGCATGCTTGGGAAAAACCCTCTACCAGAGACTTTGGAAAAGTCGGCACAGTGGTTTAATTCAGATGTGTGGCTATTGCCGTTGTGTTGTTTTTCTTCAGTGAACCACAGCAGTCCCTTTGCGAAGGGCTGTGCCTGTTTTGCAGGGCGTCGTCCACTGCTGCTGCCGCTGAGAGTCATTGGCTCAGATCTAAATGCCACATTATGTTTTCTTAGAGCAGCTGTGGGAATGGCATTTTAAAGGTCCACCTGGGCCTGACTGGCTCCGGAACGGGGCAAATAACTTCCCTCCCGAGGGCTCTTTCAGCTCAGGAAAATGGTAGAAAGGAAGAGGGGGCTCTTCCATGCCACGGTCCTGAACCATTGGGCTCTTGTGGAGCTTTGAAATGCTATTTCCCATGTCTGCTGTGTGGGGAATCTGACTTCCTGGGAAACATGAGGTGTCGCTTGGCCCTCATTCTTGTGGTCAAGAATCACATCTTGACCAGCCTTGGTAATCTGAGTCTTTTGAAGGTATATGGTTTATGGGCTTTTAAACCTAATATATGAATGGATGATAATCTGAGCCGAGAGCCACGCAATTTCATGAAGTACACGCAACAGTTTCTGGTAGGGTTGCCAGGTCTGGGTTGGAAAGTACCTGGGGACTTTGGGAGAGGATCCAGGAGAGGGCGGGGTTTGGGGAGGGGAGGGGCCTCAGCATGGGACAAGGCCATAGAGTCCACCCTTCAAAGCAGCCATTTTGTCCAGGGGAGCTGATCTCTGTCAGCTGGAGGTCAGTTGTAAAAGCGGGAGACCTCCAGGCCCCACCTGGAGGCTGGCAACCCTAGTTTCTGGGTGTCCATAGCAGAAGTGCCTCTCCTTTGTGCAGTATGCTATCCTGTGTCCTATTGTTATTTTTTTTAAGAAACCCCCCCACCCCACACATTTCAAAAGTACGCTGATTATGTTTTTGCATTTAAGTAGTGTTTTTTGGGAGTGTTCAAAGTCTTTATCATCATTATATTGCAAGGAGGAATGCTAAAGCTGAGGCACGTTCGCCCAGTAGTTGAAAAATGACACCAAGGTTTGTGTTGTGCTGATAAAGCCTTCCTTGGGTAGAATTCAGAAACCAAAAGTTGAAATGGGCTCCTTATGTATCTTGTCTGTCCCAGGGGGTGCCATGACTCCCATCAAGTGCTTTTAGAAAGTGGGTGGAGCCAGATGGGGCTGTGCATAGCACAAGGATCTTCGCTGTGTGACTGAAAATGTGGCAGCCATTTTGTTGCTGGCCATACCTCGTGCAGCAGCCATTTTGTGGCCGTGCCCACCATACTGTGTCAGAATTCCAAAGGGGCCCGCTGGCTCCGAAAGGTTGGGGACCCTCAGTCTATACGGACCTTTGGCTGTGCTGACAAAAATCCATTTATGTAACTGGGATATCTTATGCTTCCTCTGAGGTACTGAGATAGGGTTGCCAGGTCCCCCTGGGGGACGGGGAAAACCCCGTTCGATCACCCTGTTCCCCGCCGGCCTGGGATTGGGCCGCCGGAGGGAACCCCACCCCCAAAATGCCGGCATCTCAGCAACGTGCGGGCGTGATGATGTCACCCGGAGGTGACATCATCACGCCGGGCACGTTGCAGGGTGGGGACACTCTGATTCGAGGGAAAACTCTATGGTTTTCCCTCGAATCATAGCTGCCCCGCCCCCAACGTGCCTGACACGATGACGTCACTTCTGGGTGGCATCATTGTGGCGCGCACGCAAGAAGACTCCCGGTGAGGACAGGAACTCCCCCACTGCAGCCCAGGTAGGGACTTGGCAATCCTATGCTGAGGGCAACATTTTGTGAGAAAGTGCGGTGCAGTCATTAGAGTGTCGAATAGGACCTGGGAAACCCCACTTCAGATCTCCACTCTTCCCTGAAAAACTCAGTAGGTGATCTTTGGCGACTATTGTCTCTCGCCCTAATCTACCTCACAGGGTTATTGTGAGGATAAAATGGCAAAAGGGTAGGGAACCAGGTATACCACCGTGTTCTTCTTGGCAAGGTACAAACGTCACCGAATAAATAATATTCTGTGCCTTTTTGGGGTTTGGGTGACTGGCTCAGAGTCATTTGATAAGCTTTGTGGTTGGCTAGGAATTTGAACTCACGTCTACTCAAGCCACTTCTTTTTTTATATATATAATTTTTGTTATTTTAAAGTAAAAAGACAAAACAGACAAAACAAACGTACAAACATAAATGAGAGTAATCAAAGCAATATTGTATCTCTTAAACTACCTCATACATAGATAGCTAGCTATCTTTCTACCATCAAGGCTACTAAGATTTTTGCAAAGCTACATTTTAACATTATATAGTTTCTACTAAATAATCATTGTCTAAGCAATTCATTATAATGTTCTATTAATATAATCAAATATACCTTGGATTTTCTTAAACACAGCTCTCTGATTATTATTATTATTTTGGTCTACCCAAGCCACTTCTACTACTGTATTCATTATGGCACATTGGCTCTCACCAACATGCTTGACTGCAGAATTGGTTAGTACAAGAAATGGAGTACACGTTGATGTAACTCAGACTTGGCTGAACCATGGTATATTCTTGGTGGAGAAGCTGCTAAATGTACGTCCTCTCGTTTCCCTTTCAGACCATGGCCAACATCTCATCTTTTGGCAAATACACCCACGTCATTGTCCGATGCATCCCTTCCTCGTTTGGTACGTTGGAGACCATGGCGGAAGGGTCTGATGGGGGGACTGAGCCGGTGGACCTGGCCAAGGCTCATCGGCAATACGGGGTCTATACGGGCATCCTACGCCAGAAGTTGGGGCTTCAAGTCATCGAGCTGGCAGCGGACGAAGGCCTCCCTTGTTCAACACTAGTAGGGGATTTGGCAGTGATACAAGGGGACACGGCACTGCTGACTCGGCCTTGGGTGCCGTCACGACGGGATGAGGTAATCTGTTCGTGTATTTAAGGAATAGTTGGACTGTGTTTATTTACTTTACTTCATTTATACCCCACCTTTCTCTACAACGGGGACCCAACATGACTTGTGGTGTTCTCCTCTCCTCCATTTTTTCGTCACAGCAACCCTTACTTTACCATTAGGCTGAGAGAGAGAGAGAGAGTGAGTGAGTGACTAGCCCTAGGTCACCCAGTGAGATTCCATGGCGGAGTGGGGATTTGAATCTGGGCCTCCCAAACCCTAGTCCGGCACTCTAACCACTACACCACCCTGGCTTTTTCTGTAGACTTCTTTGCAAGGACTTTCAAGTTACTAGCCCTGAACGCATTTTTAAAAGACACATACCTGCACATTCTACCTGCATGCTCCCATGTCAGTAATGTAGAGTCCTCTGTCTTCTGCTCTACTAAAATAACCGAGTGATCATATGGGGGCAGTTCTTACATGCCGTCAGCAGCTAGACAAGTAGCTATGCACATGCCTGGGTGTGACTGCACAACCTAAGCTGTGGGATTCTGAATCCTGTCTATTCCCACTCAGCTGTGAAGTTCACTAGGTAACGTGGGGCCTATCATAGTCTTTCAGGATTGGAGGGGTGGAGAGAGCTATAGCCACAGCCTATAGTAGTGGCAGAGTCCTATGGAATTTTTTGGTGTAGTGGTTAAGTGCATGGACGCTAATCTGGGAGAACCAGGTTTTGTTCCCCACTCTTCCACTTGCATCTGCTGTATGAGCTTGGGCAAGCCATAGTTCTGGCACAGCTGTTCTTGAAAAAGAGCAGTTTCTGTCAGAGCTCTCACACCCCCACCTACCTCACAGGGTGTCTGTTGTGGGGAGGGGAAGGAAGGGAAAGGAGTCTGTAAGCCGCTCTAAGACTCCTTTGGATTTATACCCTGCCCTTCACTACCCAATCTCTCTCTTTGTGTGGGTTTTTCTTCTTATACTGAACTTGGTTTGTGTGCATTGCTAATTATGGAAAGGGGTCCTTAAAATCTGTCACAACATATTTAGACAAAGTGAATTATCTATGACTGTATCAGTTTATCCACACTTACCTCAAATAATGTAGCCAAATCTTGTGAGATTTTGGGGAAGGAGATGGAACCTGCTGGGATGGAGAAAGTACCCAAAGCTCTCAGAAAGTAGCCCCTGCCCCTGAATACTCATAGAGGAGACTTCCATAAATGGCTACTGGCTATAATGAATAAAGGGAAATTCAGACGCAGTAAACTTATCTGTACCCAGGGCTATTTTTGGGCAGGAACGCACAGGAACGGAGTTCCGGCTGGCTCCCAAGTTGGCCATGCCCAGCAGGAACTCATTAGCATAATAGGCCACACCCAACAGCAGAAACTCATTAGGATTGGCTACATTAGGGGTGTGTGGCCTAACATGCAAAGGAGTTCCTGCTACAAAAAAGCCCTGGGTTTTGACAACAAACAAGGTAAACAGAATAACAAGCAAAAGGTGGGTGTGGCTGGATAACCACACTTCTGGTAACATGGGGGTGTGGCTGTAATGTGCTAATGAGCTGTGCTGTCGGGGGTGTGGCCTAATATGCTAATGAGCTTCTGCTCTTGGGTGTGGCCTATTATACTAATGAGTTCCTGCTGGGCTTTTTCTACAAAAAGAGCCCTGTGTGTACCAGAAGGCTAGGGGAATGCTTTGGCCTCTGTGCCCTGTTTGTTGGTCCTCCGGGGCAACTGGCTGCCCACAGTGTGGAAAATGAGATGTGGGACTAGATGAATCATTGGTCTCATCCAGCAGGTCTCCTCATATAATCTTATGCTTTTGAGGTTTTACTTCTCTGAAGGGTCAAGAGAAAGAGGCTGAAACCCTGACCTTTCCTGTCAGTTCACAGCACCAGGCAACCTTAAACTTTGCAGAAAGCTCCATTAACGCAAGGGACTTGTGTGTACAGGATCAGGCTCTCTGACAGTGGGGCAAACCACGATTGGGTCTGCAGCATTTTTATGCCTCTCCGTAATTCACCAAGGTATATGGGATGGGGTGTGATTATGGGTGAAGCCATATACGCTTTGTCCTTAAAATAATTGCTCACCAAGGTAACCCAAATTCCACACCGTGGCAGGCTCAACCTTTTTGATTAAATAAATCAAACTCATTAGCTTGGCCTATGTTTGTTTTGCATAATTTATTCTGCTTCTGCTGGCCGTGAGAAGAGACTAAAAGAGCTGTGGAGAGCACCGAAGCCCTCACCACTGACAGTCCCGCTCAACCTTTTTCAGCTTCTGGAAATTTCCGAGGCATTGCCTCACATCTGAAAAGCTTACCTAGCCAGACAGACAAACTAGACGTTGAGAGCCAGCGTGGTGTTGCGGTCCAAGTGTCGAACTAGGATCTGGGAGGCCCAGGTTCGAATCCTCTCTCTGCCCTGGAATCTCACTGGGTGACCTTGGGACAGTTACATGTTCTCAGGGCCTAAGGAGACGTTACAAACTGCATGAGTTCTCAGCAGGGACTGCTAGTTCCCGGTGGCAACTCCTCAATCAATGCACAGCAGGGCCCCGCTCAGGTTGGGACTGGTGCCTGGGAGAAGGAGGAATTCTGCCTTCTTCCCTGGGCTGTTTTGGGCAACTGAAACAGTGGCTGCAAATGGGAGTGTGATTTTCTCTGTGAGGAGCCAGCACATGCAAACATTCAGTGCGCATGCTGGCTCCCCATTGAGCCGCTCAGGTTGGGACTGGTGCCTGGGAGAAGGAGGAATTCTGCCTTCTTCCCTGGGCTGTTTTGGGCAACTGAAACAGTGGCTGCAAATGGGAGTGTGATTTTCTCTGTGAGGAGCCAGCACATGCAAACATTCAGTGCGCATGCTGGCTCCCCATTGAAATGAAATGTAGTCTGTAACATCTAGTAAGGCTCTTGGTCTAACCTACCTCACAGGACAGTGGTCGTGAGAAGAAAATGGAGGAGGGCGAGTACAGTGTTTATAAGCTGCTTTGGGACTCCCCGGTGGGAAGAAAAGTGAGGGTATAAATATCTAAAGAAATAAAATTTGGCAGCACAGCCTAGTGGCCTGGAAACCGTTGGCCTGAAGTTCCTAAGAAACGAGCAGGATCTAATTTATGCATAAGAGGTGTGGGAACTCGAAGCCGGGACCCTCTGAGTTCCTGAGAAAAGTCATAGGGCCCAGTGGGGCTTTTGGGGTGTGTGTGTGTCTGGAGCAAAGCTGTGAGCCAGGATAGCTGCTTTCCAAGGGAGGCAGGCCGCAGTGTCTAGCTGCGCATTAAAGCCTTGTCCCATCTGTTCCTCTGCAGGAGCCTCTGGGATTAATTCCGCCCTTTTCCCTGAAGTGATGAGGCGGCCGCCTGACTGGTTGCCTCGCCAGTTGGGGTCATGCCTTATCCACCCCTCATGACCCGGCTCTCCGTTCCAGTGTCACTGAGTGGATATAGAGGGGTGTCAGCCCAGTCCTGTGCACATTTGCTTTGAAACAAGCCTCCTTGTCTTCTGTGACGCTTATTCCGAGATCTGCGTACATAGGATTGCAGGCCCCCCGCCCCCAATCCCACTGCAATTCTGATAATTTTGTGTCAGAATTCCAAAGATGCCCACAGGGTCAAAAAGGTTGGGGACCCATGATTTCTGTCGTGTTAGTTGTACGCCATGAGCAGCAGCTGCTATCAATAATTTAAATGGGCCAAGGCACAAGGTTATTCCCGAATCATGTGAGCGGGGATGGTCAGATACTGAACTAAGACTGGGGATCCCCACAGCCGTGAAGCTCAGCAGTTGACCCTGGGCAACTGTTCTCTGTCTCTCTCATGTAGTCTACCTCACAGGGTTGCTGTGAAGAAAAAAATAAATAGAACAGAGTAAAATTCTGCAGCTCACACTGATTTAAAATCTGTATGAAGAAGAAGAGGTTGGATTTATTCCCCGCCCTTCACTTGGAGTCTCAGAGCGGCTTACAAACTCCTTTCTCTCCCCCTCCCCACAACAGACACCCTGTGAGGTGGGTGGGGCTGAGAGAACTCTGACACAAACTGCTCTTTTTCAAGGACAGCTGTGCCAGAGCTTGTGACTGACCCAAGGTCACATCAGCAGGTGCAAGTGGAGGAGTGGGGAATCAAACCCGGTTCTCCCAGATTAGAGTCCGCACACTTAACCACTACACCAAACTGGAAGAAGAGATTGGATTTATACCCCACCCTTCACTTGGAGTCTCAGAGCGGCTTACATACTCCTTTCCCTTCCCCTCCCCACTACAGACATCCTGTGAGGTAGGTGGGGCTGAGAG